AAGGAATCTTTTTAGTTCTTTTTCTGCATTAGCAGTTCCTTGCTGTTCATCTCAGGTCTCAAAAGGATGATATAGCACTTGGGGAAAAAGATACAGATCAGTAAGCCAGCACTAGAGGCTAAGATAGAGAAGATCTCCACAGCTACCATGTACTTCCCTTTGGTGCTCAAGTAGGCTGGAACAAAAGAAAACCAAACACTACAGAAAATCAACATGCTGAAGGTGATGAACTTGGCTTCATTGAAAGTGTCTGGCAAGTTCCTAGCTAGGAAAGCTATCACAAAGTTGGTAACAGACAAAACTCCTAGGTAGCCAAGGACAAGATAAAACATGGAGACGGACCCTTCGTTGCATTCTATTATGATCTCTTCAGTCAGGGATTGCATGTCTGCATCTGGGAATGGGGCAGACGTCCCTAGCCAGATGGCACAAATACCTGCTTGAATGAGGGGGCAGAAAATGACAATCGAGGTCGGCAGCCTTCTCCCCATCAACTTTCTCATGTTTGAACCTGGCACGGTAGCCATAAAAGCCACAACTACAGTGGTGGTTTTCGCCAACATGGAGGAAACTGCCATGGAGAAGATGATGCTGAAAACAGACTGTCGGAGAAGGCAAGTCAACATCCTAGGTTGTCCAAGAAACAGCAAGGAAGAGAGGAAGCAGAGCAGGAGGGAGATGAGGAGAGTGTAGGTGAGGTCCCGATTGTTGGCTTTGACTATGGGAGTGTCTTTGTGCTTAATAAAACTTCCAGTCACCAAAGCTGTAATTATAACAAAAAACACAGCAAGAGAGGCCAACCCAATCCCTATGGGATCTTCATAAGACAGGAAGGTTATGCTTTTGGGGATGCAGTGGTCTTGATTCTTGCTCGGATAGTGATCTTCTGAACACTGGAAACAGTAATCCATATCTGGAGAGAAGCAGGAGATAAGTCCGTGTCAATACCATCTCATGCATAAAATCTCGGCAGTATTTACCGCTACCTCAAAAAAGGTGAAGGGTCACTGGTCATTCTGACTTCTTCTTGGTGGTTCTAGAGGTGGAGGTATTTTTATATATAGAAGTGGTCATTTTGGTACTTAGTTCTAACACAGCTACTCTGGACATCTTTATTTATGGTAAGGTGTTTAAGGTCCTTCTTTATCAACAGCTATCCATTCTAACCCTTTACAGTGGTGTCTCGCTTAACGATTGCCCCGCATTACGATGAATCCACTTTACGACAATCTTTTTGATCGTCTAAATGGGGGAATTTCGCTTAGCGATGATCGTTTCCCTGCTTCGGGAACCAATTTTCGCTTTACAATGATAAAAAACAGCTGGTTGTTGGGTTTTCTAAATGGCCACCGGGTGCTTAAAATGGCTCCCCGCTGTGCTTAGGGATGGATTCCTTGCTATACAGGCAGCGAAAATGGCCTCCGTATGGAGGATCTTCGCTGGACGGTGAGTTTTTACGCCATTGGAATGCATTGAATGGTTTTCAATGCGTTTCAGTGGGGTTTTTAATTTCGATTTATGATGTTTTCACTTAACAACAATTTTCCTGGAATGGATTATCGTCGTTAAGCAAGGCACCACTGTATGCTGGAATATTTGTGCACGAAACTACTTACCATTTCGGTCTGAAATCTTCCCTTCAGGACATGGATCACAATTGTAGCAGCAAAATTTCTCCCCTTCTTTCTTTCTCTTTTGAAAACCCGCAGGGCAAGGGTCACTACACACCGAAACTGGCTGTACCTATCCATCAAGAAAGAAAAAGGGGAGAAACATAGACATTATGGTGATCTGATCAAGAAGCAAATGATCATTTGAGAAGAACAGACAAAATTAGTGAACACAACATATCTTTCAACAGCAGCTATTTCCAGATTGCAGTTTTTGGACCTCAGATAGATATTTAGAAAGGGTAATCTGGGGACCAGGAAGAAAAAAAATAAAATTCTACTCAGGCTAAGAAGATTCCTGCACTGAGGTCCCATTGCACATCATCAGTACAATTGGTTTAGGCTTCTCACAGCCCTGCAAAATCTCAGTTGCCTTGTTAAACATTTATTCTTGTGACCTGGTGTCATTGTGTTGCTTCAGACCTAGGGTAGCCCTAAGAGTATTCTCAAGGTACATGAGATGTTCAGGGAGTGGTTTACCATTGCCATTCATTTGTTGTGAGTATCCACGGCTGAGTGGAGAATCAGACCCAGGTCCCCTGAGTTTGATAGTCAAACACATTGGCTCTTCACATCTGCAATTTCTCACATTTGATTTGCTCCAAAAATGTATCATTGTTTCCAGACATGCACTTCAACGTGAATTACGCTTCTAAACTGTTTTAATGCCATCCATAACATTGATTCCATCATGCCCTCCCGTTACACATTGTGCATTGTTTTATGTAGGAAATGAAAGTTTTTGAAATGATGATATGAGAGCCCACAATCCACACCTGATTAAAATTATGATGCCATTCGATTAAATTGTCCTGAATGACCTCTTTTCCTTCAGGAGCGTTGGGATCCACTCTTCCAACTTTCGCCCTATGGAAGGAGAGGTTAGGAAAAATGACCATATTCACAATGTCGAAGCCAGTTACCATTTCTCCACGATCATCAAAGGACACCTTTTCTCCCATAGAGTTGTTAAATGAAATGCCTTGAAGAAATGAATGAAGCTAGTTCAGAGGGAGAAAGAAAAAACACAGAGTAACACCAACTATTAGACTCCTGAAGACAATATTTAGATGTGAGCCACACGGCTGACCCCCTACCAAGGATTGAGACTCAAGTCGCCAGACTTGCAGTCAAGTTGGACTCAAGTCACACCAGTGACTCAGACTTGGCTCAGGGTTTTTTCAATGACTCGGAAGCAATGTGCAACTAGGAACCCACCCAGTTCTTCCCTTTTTCGTAGGGGAAAAAAAGCTTGTTATTCACAGGGACTTGGGACTTGGGAATCAGGACTTGGTACCAAAGACTTGAATATGGACTTGCCAACATCACAGGGACTTGGGACTTGGGAATCAGGACTTGGTACCAAAGACTTGAATATGGACTTGCCAATATCACAGGGACTTGGGACTTGGGAATCAGGACTTGGTACCAAAGACTTGAATATGGACTTGCCAACATCACTGTCCTCTACCAAGTTCAGAAACACATGCATTTTTTTTACAGACTTGGAGTGTACGAAGAAGCACGAATCTGCAACTATCAACTCAGTAAGAGCAGCCACAGCCTTCATTTTGCAAGACCCAAGTGGAGCGCTTCACAACAGGACATTTTGGAAGTCCTATTGTGACCACATGTTGGAAGCCACACGACATTTTCTCAGTATATAAGATCTTATTTTGGATTTCAGCTGCGGACGACACTGTTTCATGTTATTTCGCTTTATATGCATAGCAATAAAACCATTTTACCTGCCAAGGCTGGAAATTCTTAAGACCTCTGCTTTCTGTGTTTCCTCTAGGTTTAGCGACAGATGTGTCCATGGCATGCAAAGCATGTGCAACAGCATAGACAGCATTATAGATGCTGTAACTATGGCCAGTCATGTGCATCTCAAATACAGGCCCAGGCAAAGTCTCCAGTCTCTCCTGCCCTGTACATATTGTGTTATCCTCCATTGTTGTACCGGGATCGGGAAGTGAGCAGTCAAAAGCTTGCTCCCAGAAATCCTTGAGGAAACCATCTCCTTGGGTCCAAAAAGGGTTTATGTCTTGAAGGTATCTTGGAAAAGCTGGGTGCTCAACTGAGTGAACTGTGAATGAAATGGAACCATGTAACGACTTGAAATTTTCAGGTATTATAACTCTTGTTACTGAAAAATCAATCTGGGCCGTCGTAATCCAAACCTTTCCATGAATTGGCTTTTCCTGATATTCAGGGTCTGCTAGGCCAACAAGAGTTGTCAGCCACATCAAGGTCAAGCTGTCCCCATGTATAACACACGTCCTGGTTTTCGTGTTTTTTATATGTCGGTCAACTCTGGAGATCATCGCAACCAGATCGCCGTACGAAGGCAAAATACTTTGATTAGGGATCCTTTCCATGAAAGCCGAACAGATTCCTCGTTGCACAAGTAAAGGCTCAAATGCCTCCAGGAAACCTTCGCCGCCTTCATCATCCTCCACAAAAAGGCCAACCCATGTCCATCCAAAATGTAGGAGCAAACGGATAATCCCCGTCATCTGCTGGACCTCATTTGGTACCATTCGATAGAAGAGAAGAGGGTCTTTTGTATCATCATTTTGTGGAGCAAATGAACCATATGTAAGCTACAAAGAAATGTATATACTGGTGATGTGTTGCGAAATGACTGAGGGCATATTTGCCCGAATGGTTCACGGTGAGATTCATGATGATAGCATAGGAATATGATGTCATGTATAGGAAACTGAATCTACCTAATATCCTTCAAACAGAACAAAGTCATATACTGTAATGGCATATACTTCAGGGCTGACCTCCCCAAATTCTTCAGCTATCTTTGGATTTCCAGTCAGTAATATCTCTCCCCTGTTCAAACTGCAAAACCTCACCAGAATTAGGAACATTTTTAATTAACATATTTTACCTGAGGAATTTTGTACAGACTTAAGATGTCTGCCATACAGAGAGAAATATGAGAACCCATTCCTCCGATGACAGATACTACGTTTCTCCGGGTTACACATTCGTAGTTGGGGACAAATCGGAATGAATTGTAAAGGAACTCCATGGTGCTACGGTAGGTCATCCTTGCATCAAAGTAGCTGTCCAAGATATGGAATCCCAGGGTGTGGTTGGGCAAGATCTCTGGATTCTCGTTGATCTCATTGACAGCAAATGCCAAGGTCTGGATGTGCTGGTAGAACTTTGGCACCGTACTGCAGATAGAGTCAAACATTACTACCGCCACAAATGTGGGTCCATGGTTTGTGTGTGTGTGTGTGTGTGTGGTTTTGTACCTAAACTGTAGGTTCTTTGACTTTTCTGCATCTATTCTATACTGCATTTATTTTTATTTATTTATTCATTCATTCATTCATTCATTCATTCATTCATTCATTCATTCATTCATTTCAAATGTTTATATTAATAAATTGTATATAATAAATTTTACTTAACAAATTTATATTTGTTTATATTTAAAATATTTTTATCCCACCTTTCTCCTCAAAAAGAACCCAAGATGACCTACATAATTTAAAAAAAATAGTTAAAAGCTAAACATAGTAAGTTTACAAGTATTTTAAAAGAATTAAACAAGTATTGTATTAAAAACGGTAGTAAAATCAATACTAAAACACATTTAAAACAACAGAGCACAACAGTCCATTTGAAAACACTTCTCAGACCACCAGTTACTAAGGGAAAGCCTACCTGAAGAAAAAGGGTTTTTTTGTCTACATGCGGAAGGATAGCAAAGATGAAGCCAGCCTAGCTTCGTGTGGGAGGGAGTTCCGGAGATTTGGAGCAACCACAGAGAAGGCCCTCTCCCATGTCCCCACCAGAGAAAAGCCTCCCCTAAGGATCTTAAAGCCCAGGCAGGCTCACAGATGAAGATGCTGGCTTTTCAAATAGCTTGGTTTCTTAGTAGCACAATGTCGGATTTGGATTATCTAAATTGTCTGAATTAATAATGTAATGTAGTCATGGTGGCAGGATAGCTCAGTGAGCTTGAGCACCAAAATACAGATCTAACACTCTGGAATTTATTTCTCCACTGTGCCTTGTAAGCGAAAACCAGCTTATGTGGCCTTGAACAAGTTACGGAAATTTATAGAATCACTGTGAATTAGAACTGATTTAGCAGCACATAATTATAATTTTAAAAGACAATGTCTATGGAGGTTTCTGAACTCAGATTTTATATCTTTTGTGTACTAAGCAACAGGATTCCAGCCATCATCAAGGACTGCAATTCTGTTAACGTTTTTCTCAATGCAGGATGTCCAGTGCTCAGCATAATGAGAGACGATTAAAGGAATATCAGTTAAATCCTGCTTGTTGACTAATTTTGGAGTCTGTGTTACCCTTAGCAAAAAATCTCTCATTTTGACCTTCCGCTAATTAAATGTAATCCATAAAAGGCAAAAGTTTAATATTATGAATGCTGAAGTGAACATGAAGAAGCTGCTGTTCTGTTGCTTGACCCCAAGAGCGAATCTATCATTCCTCCAGAATCACAGAAGTTCTGAAGCACACAGATTTTGTCCAAAAAAACAGCTTGAGGATGCTCATGGATTCGTCGCTGCAACTGGATGCCCAGATTTCAACAGTGGCCAGGAATGTATTTGCACAGTTAAAATTAGTGCACCAGCTGTGTCCATTCCTGGAAAGGTCTGATCTGGCCCACAGGGACAAATGCTCTAGTTACATCCTGGCTGGATTACTGTAACACACTGTACATGGGGCTGCCTATGAAAAATGTCAGGATACTTCAGCCGGTCCAAAACACAGCAGCCAGATTGCAAACTGGGGCTGGTCATAGCGATTATATAATCATATAGCGATCATATAACTGTTACAACAGTTCCACTGGTGGCCCATCCCTTAAAACACAGGTTCTAATCTAAAAAAAAAAAAAAAAGCCCTAAACATCTTGAGCTCAAGCCATCTCAAGGATTGCATCTCCCTTTATGAGCCTGCTCAAGTGTTATGAGGAGGCTCTCAGTCCCACCAATTTCACAGGTAGGTTTGGTGGGGACACAGGAGAGGGCCTTCTCTGTCGCTGCTCCCAGACTCTGGAACTCCTTCCCACTGGAGGCCAGGCTGGCCCCATCTTTGCTGTCTTTCTCTTCAGGCAAGCTTTCCCTGAGTGACTGACTTGCCTGAGTGGATCATTGTACCTTACTGCTTTGAATGTGTTTTTTGGGGTTGTTCATGTTTTTCATTCTGGTGTGCTATTTGCTTGATCCTTTCGTATTTGTATACTCAGCATTGTTAGCATTAAACACAGTTTTTTAAACAATATAAGTCACCTTGGGTCCTTTTTTAGGGAGAAAGGTATGGTAAAAAAATTCAATAAATAAATAAAATACATAGGTCGCCGCAACCGGCCATCCCAAATTCTTTCCAATCTAACGGAGTTCATGGGGAAACCCGGCTCAACATGATGAAAAGCAGCTGACTGGGATGATAAAATCCCCTCCCAAAAAAAATCATCTTTACATGAGATAAAGTCATTGCTTACATAGGAAGATCAAAGCCCAGCTCCTTAGAAGGATGTTTCTTAAAGAAAATGAGAGATAAGAGACACATCATCTGAGAAGCAATTCCACCAAAAAGAAGGTCACCACGTTGATACCACTCATGAGGAACAGGAAGAGGGTCGCTGATGGGACACATGAGGCTTTTCGCTTGGCTCACCGTCCGAGCAAATAGAAGCAGCCACACCAGGAAGACCAGCATGTGAAGTCAGAATTTCTCCTTATACTCAGCCATCGCTGTGACCCCCCCAGTATCCTTATCATGGGCATCAAAAATATTTGAGCAAGCCGCAGTAGACCACGGTTGACTGTGTCCTTGGTGTTGTAAAGCAGAAAGTTCTCAGCCCTAAATGTGACGTCAATAGAAGCATGACCTGAAAGACATGAAAGACACAGGAACCTGAGGACAGGATGATTAACTTGTACAAGAACTCTGACTCTTCCTATTAATCCCAACTGTGAAGGGCAGAATTTGAAGGGGTTTTAATCTCTTCCCTAGTTGTTCATAGATTATTTTTCAACCGCCATCCACGTAGTTTGTTTTGCAAGGGGAAACAAGAGCAGTGGTTTCAGATAATTGCAGGGTAGGTAATTGCCTATGATGCATTGACTTCCCAGAGGTCTCTGCTCCTAGCAAACGGCTCTGTTTTCCCCCAGTCTTTTACTCTTCAGTGGGACAGTCCAAGGAAGAGGCAAACCCACGAGACCACAAGAAGCAAACACTAGCTGGAGTGTTAGATCCAGGAGTATTTGCTATTGATTATTATTATTCTTGGACCTGTGTCTGGCAGACATCATGGCGATAATTGCAATTTACTAAAAATGCAGAATATACTGTATTTTTTTCCAGATGTCAAGTATGCTTCCAACAATAATTGGCCTTTTCTGCTGTATTCTCAATTCCCTTGCAATATGCCTACTGCAAAGGTGTGAGGTTGTGAGGAAGTCTTATGAATGCCTCACACACACACACACACACACACACACACA